TTCATTCTAAAGTAGGGTTAAAATCGCATGCTCTTGAGTGAGAAAAAGTTTCAGGTAAAAAGTTTAAACAGTGGAAATTGGCTAGTATAATTTTCTTTGGCCGAAATACAAGTGTAAAGAGAAAGTCAATGAAGTACAAAAAGTTCAAAATGTTTTAAAAAAATCGAATTGAATCGGGATGTTAAGAGTTTTTGGAGTTTTGCCAATGGTTGTAAAAAAAAAGTCTGCTAGTCCTGTGGGTATTTTTTTTATTTCTCTGAAAGTGGATGGAAGACAAATATAACTGTTACAGAGATTCTGTATTCATACTCAATCTTGGAATAATTTTAACTTTATTAGGAGGTTAAAAGCATATTGACTATCTGATTATGTGCTTAAATAATGTAATAAAATAGTTTTATATAATTTATATTTAATTAAAATATCTTTACTCAATAATTATATACTGGATTATTTCTTTATAGTTAACTACTAAATTAAACAAAAAATAATAGTAATATTGAGAATTTTTGTTTGCATTTTATAAGTTAAATGTTTTTCTCAATTTATCATTCATAAAGTAATTTTATATTCATCCTTTATTATAATAGGAACCATCATAATTAATTAACTTATTTATGATAAAAATACTGGTCAATAATAACACTTGGATCAGTATTTCAGAAGTTGTTTTATATATTTAGGCGGGAAGAGTAAGGCCTATAAATGTTTAGTGATAAAAATAGCACCACCCTCACCTTCAGATATTATTTAAAATTGATAATAACTTCTGAAATATTGGTCGAAAACTTGTTAGATTATTACTTTATAAATCAACTAATTAATGATGCATGTTCCAATTAAAAAATTAAGTTAAAACTCTTATAAGACATAAGAGACGATCATAAAAACAGTTTATGGCTGTTATATTGAGAAAAACATGAAACTAGATAAAACAAATAAAAAAAATAAAAAAAATTATTAATTATTATTTTTATTTCTCAATTAATTAAGTTGTTCGTGATAAAGATTCAACATGTATAGTATATTCTATATTAGATATTTCTAAGAGAATTTTGATTAATAGTTTATTTCAGGTTTAATTTTTATTAAAAAGTCTTCGAGTAATTATTTAAGCTAAAGCACACACCTGATACTTGTTATTTGTTGATTTTATTTTAATTATCTATAGTAACTTCTTTGTTTATATTTTCGTACTACTCAAAGTATACATAGTAAACGAATCGACCAAAACAAATACATTAATTTTGGTTGAAGTAGAGTTGGAAGTTTAAATTTACCTTTTTGCTGTTTAATATTTAACTATGAATAATATAATTTGCTAAATCAATTTGCATATGGCTTAAATAAGATTTTATTTATACACTAAGAAATTGTAATAAAAATAATTTCCCAGTGTATAAATAACAAACTGAATAGTTCGTATTTTTAATGAAAATAGTATTAATAAGCATAACATATATAAGCACAAAATTACCAAAATATTATATCAGTTTGACATGAATTTACAGGTAAAAATACATTTTTTGTTTGATTATAATTATGCAAAAATTAATTCGATCTCAGTCATAAATATACATAAATTAATGTTGATATTTTACGCGATTCTATTTTATTAATATTCGTTGAATTTTTTTACACTTATACAGTATTTACATTTGTGATACTTTTCGTTTATTTTTAATTTTAGTTTCTAGTTGACCACTTTCTTTTAAAAAAATATGAGTTTGTACGTACTATTATTACTCTACGTTTCTCTAGAAAAGTGCAGTTTTACAAGGTCGGACAATGAAATCGAAGATTTTACTAAAGATCTTTTTTATCCTTTACATTACACAGACATACCATTATAAAATTATGCCAAACAGAGCAGTTTAAAGAATTTTTACTATGTATTTTAGTGTAATGCTTAGATTTATGTCCTTCTTAGTAATAAAAAGACTATAACTAAACATTCGATTAAAGAGACTAATGGTTGGTAAATATTCTTTGTTGTTAAAAATCTTACAACAAAACATTAATATGAAAATTTGCAACTCAATTTACGTTAAAAATCTGTTCCACAAAGTAGAAATATCTTTATTTTTTTAAATAAAAAAAAAAAACATATTATGATTTATACTATTATTGTAGTCAAAAATCATAAAAATTATTTAAAAAAAAATAGTACTGCAAAATAGTTACTCAATCAAAAGTCATAGGATTCGTCAGAACATGCGGGTCCACCTGATTACTATAAAATACTTGTGGGATATCTGTTGTTTAAAAGTTAGCCTATTTTAAAATTCTCTGTAGTTTTTATTTTATTTTTATAAGCAGAAAAAAATGGTATTCGGTTTATTGATTTCCAAGTATAATTTAACTAGTAGAATTTCAAAGCAAAAACTATCGTAAAAACCTCTGAAGACTAAGGTAAGTATCATAAGAAGCAGAAAGGCACATTTCTATATTGCTCTAAGTTATTGTATAGAATACAATAAGTTTTATAAAGCATAACGTTATTACTTTCGTATTATAAGAATTTTTTTTAACGAAAATCGTGAAATAAATTTAATAATTAAGGGAAATAGAAAGTTAAATATCGATTAAAATTTATAAGCTAGTAGATCAGTTTATTATTAGGGTAATGTAATTAATTCAGTTTGTATCTTAGTAAATTTTTAATAAAACATAAGGATTTGTTTGATAAATAATTTTTTTTATTTTTGATTCACAAAATTCTTAAAGATTTAGAAAATTTTGTATAAATAACAATATTGTTTTTTTATTTTTCGTTTTCAAAAAAAATTGTTTAATTTTGTGCATCTTGTATGTTGCTTAGTAATTTCAATGAGTGTAACTAAATGCGTGATGAACAAAAAACTTAAGTATTCGAAATAAACTATAAAACTGTTCAAATTGTTCGATTTGTTATTTTATATTTCAGCCAATAAAGTAAGCTTTGAAAGTTTTGTCAATTATGTTGAATAGCCATAAGAACTTGAAGTTTAAAATAAACTTATGTTTTCCCACTTTATGAAAAAAAATCGACACAAAATTTCCTCAACTGTCATGTTCTAATTTACATATGATTATTGTGTTTGTGTCACATTATAATAAAAAGAGTTTTCATCTATTTTATCAAAAATCCAACTTTCTAAATGAACATATTGAATTTTTACTCGAGGATCTTTAAAAACTTGCATGTATATAATATAATATTCAATATTAATAAAGAATGAAGTATTAACGCTTGATATGAATTTTAAATGCATTTAAGAAAATTTACTTGGTGAATGTCTCTTTGCATAAATTTTCTTATTAACATCTATAATTATCTTTGGTATTTGGATAAGATTTAATTAAAATTATCTAGTATTTTTCAATAGGAGAGGGCTTATACCAAAAAAACAAACTATATTTACTATTTTTAATTCACTTCTTACTTAAAATGTAGGTATAGCAGGACTAACGGAGACTAAGCTTTTTAGCTTCCCCTGGATACGCCATAGACAATATCAGACTAGGTTGGAATTTTTTATTTTTTGATCTAGTAAAAAAAAAAAGTTAAATTTAAAATTGCCCAAATTAATACGTTTTGCTATAGTAGAGTCTCAAATAATTTTGTAATATAATGAATTCATATGGAATTCTTAAAAACATAATAAATTAATACGAAAATAAACTTAGTAACTTGGTTAGCGAGTTTTTATAGTTGTTGATAAAAGTATTTTTAATCACAGAATAACAATTCGTTTATTTTAATGTTATTGTTAATTTTATTAGTGTATTTTTGTTTTGTTTTAATTGATTTGCAAATGAAATTGTTTACTATAAAATCGTATCGAAATTATGCATTTTTAAGAAATAATTTTTGAGTTATAAGTAGATGGCGTATTTAATTTTTAGAATTCAAATTTCAATTTGCTCGATTCATATCTTTCATTTTACATTTCATTTCAAACGCTAAGATTATATTAATAATTTAACAGCCGTATATGTTGTATTATTTTGAGAAATATATAAACGCCAGTGTAAATGAGTGAACAAATTTAGGTTGCAGTAAATCTATAACGAGAGACTAAGTATTAAAAATTTGCCATGTCAGCGGCATTGTCATCCATAATTTGGTTTAAGACGGCGAGGAGGGGTAGATTTTGAGAATGAATAATCGACCAGCCCCGGACAAGCCGCAGGCGTGTTCCTCTCATTATTCAACTTCTGGAATGGTTAAAAATGTGCAGCGTCCATAGAAAACAACGTTGACCCGTTAATCTGGACGAAAAAATGATTACACAGGTCTGAAGCAGTGAAATTAACAGCATACCTCTTTTTGAATGGCTCATTGTTTTTTTACGATTCAACTTGTCAACATTATTCATTAGAAAATATATGGGAAAATATATATGGGAAACAGAAACAATTACAAACAAACGCAGATGTATATTTTGTATAAATAAATAAATGTATCATATTTTATAACGGAGAAAATGCTGTGTTTATTTTTGCCAACGGTCCCATAGAATACTACGAATGTATACGTTTTTGTTACAACAGAAGTATGGAAATGAAAAACTAACATAAATTGTCAACAATTTAATACCATTGATAATGTGTTTGAATAATAAGCGCATAAAACAGTGTTATAATTTTCTATAGGCATAATGAAATTTTTACTTACACAGTGCAAATGACTCATCACCTATTGGTTGTATCTGTAAAATGGATTATGTTTAATCATGAGATTAAATTAAGCAATTTTACTTTCATATTTCAAATATCACTGAAAGTAATCTATATCAGCAGTTAATCTACGTGTATTTAAATTTTGCACATGTTGACATAGACGACAATAATGTTGATTATTCATAAGTATGGTACTTGATTGATCTTGAATTTAACAATCATTAATAACGCCAGTTGAAAAACGAAAGAAATTATATAAAAAGAGCTCAGTTAGCTATTATTAAGAATAGATCATAACTGTTTTATAGTGTGTCAAATGAATATAAAACCATAAATTATAACATAAAAGAGTGATTCATAATTTTCATTTATTCATCAATATAATATTTAAAAGGGCATTTATATAAATGCTTCATAAAGTAGTTATAAAATATTATCATATTTACAACAAATGATATTAATGTATACTTATAATTTTTTACAACATGCAGACAAGATTTACATAATTATTTAGTATTGTTTACAATTTTTTTTTATAATTAAATTAAAATTAGTGTTTTAAATGAGTATTGAACAGCAATATGTTATTTACAACCTTTCAAGATATGGAATCAACATTTTTTTCAACAGCGAGTGTCAGCGTTCTACTTTTGCTTAACAATAATCGATTTTTAACATAAAAAGCAACAGTTAATTTTTTTCTTTTTAATACCCGTGTCAATTGAGCACTATCCTCATTTATTTTGATTAATTAATCTTTTACAGTTAACTCGTTTACTTCCTTCGTTAACCTTATATTTGATAAAGCCTTTTCAGTATACAAAAAATCCATTATTATGTTTATAAAACTTAAAGTATTTTCGTAAATTTAAATGAGAATTAATTATTAGTGAATAATGTTTCAATTAACATAGTTTTTAATAAGCAAAATTAAATTAATAAAATGTTACCCATAAAAAAAAGTTAACATTTGGGTTCCATAAAGAAATGTATTATTTATTAACAGTATAATTTTTTTTTTAAATATGGTAACTACACAATAGTTGTAATTAAGTGTTATAAAATATTATAATATAATATCTAGTAAAACATCAACGACAAAAAACTACATTTTCTTATTTAAAACAGATTTTTGAAAGGATTATCAAACCGATCATTAAAATATGGCTTATATTCGGAATAAAAAACAATTAAAATTTTTTAAACTATAACATTACAATTAAGGATTATAAAATAGAAATCAAGAAATTATCGACAGTGTTACACAAGTCTTTATTTTTTAAACAATATGATAAATTTTATACAATTATAATGATTAACCCTGTACAAATCAATTTCATTATAAAATTAAGGCTTTAATAAATAAAGTATACAGTAAAATTAAATAGGAAATAATATTTAGGCATTGTGTAATTGTGGTAACTGTAAACTAATAGTTTAAAAATAGGAAGTTACATATATTCATTGAATGTGGTGGTATGACACTTTATATGACTAAAGTTATATTTACAAGTTGTACAAGACTCATGAGATTAATTATAAATTTTATCGTTGTATGAAATGTTTGATGTCTACAAAATTCAAGACAATCAAATAAAAGTTCAGTTTCATCACTAATTTTTTCGCTACTGAGCACATACCCAGAAAATCGTACATTAAATTACAATAAAATTTATCAGGTATAAACAAATTTTTTTAATCGTCAATTATTAATTTATTATACATGTATTACGAGTATTATTTACATAATATATGAGTGACTTATATGTTTTATTTTTGCTTAAAATGTATATTAAACTAATGAAATAAATTTCATACACAAAACATCAATTAGAAAAGCAACATATATATTTCTTATCTAACTGATATGACCAACAGGGGCAATGCAACGAACCACAACATCACTTCAATTCCAGAAGCGGTTGATTTTCGACGGGATATTGCAGCCATAGTATCACCTTAAAAAATTAATGTTTAATTTACTTACTTTCTTGATGTTTCAATTATTTTAACTTATTTAATAACTATGGAAAAAATTATATTGATTATGCAGATATTCGTATCATGTGACAACAACGTTAATATTTATTTTATTTTTATGTTTTTGGTGGATTTTCAGATAAATAACATTTTACAGTGAGAACAAAATAGTGAAGGGTTCTTATTAATTTTGTATTTGAGCTTTTGGAATTTAATGAAATAGCAGATGTTTCAGTAAGTATTTTTTTTTTTTAATATTCCCAAAAAAATATCTTTATTAAAATAAATGGTTCACAAAAATATAAAAAAGCTAATGTAAAAGCACAATTTATGAGGGTTGTTTTTAGTTGCAGTTTAAAAAGTACACTTTATATTGTTTCCTTTAAAGAAATACTTTATAAATTAAGTTAGAATAAATATTCTGTTTTATATTACTTATGAAATTATAGAATGTTATTAGGATTAAAGTGAAATAAATTCTTATATCCGACCAGACATAATGATCAGACTAAATAAGCAAATATTCTTTATTTATCATTTGTAATTATGCCTTAAAATTAGCCAAAAAACTTATTTATTTGGATAAAATAGTGATTTATTTTTTTCTTCAAAGAATGGAATTATTTAAATTACAAAGTCTGTAAAAAACTAAATTAAAAAAAAATACTAGCATTAAGAAGTTTTACGGAACATTGGAAATTAAATTGTATTTTGTTCATAAATGTATCAAAATTTTAAATTTCACAATTTGATGAACTAACAAATTTCCATTGTTTGAATTGAAATGAAATGTGTTAGATGTAGTTTGGATCGAGAGCTTTGTTGCTTTGCATTGTTTAATTTTACGGGTATTTTAACATCAATCTACATCTAAGTGCTTATATGTTTTCAAACACCCAAGAGTAACATAAAAATGTTTATTTGTATTTTATAACTTTAGAAAATAAGAAAAGTATTTGTTTCAGTTAAACCGAGTGTGAATGAAATTAGCCAGTTTTGGGTATAGAATGAACTCCAGAAACAGTAAATATTAAAAAATGTTTATAACCTTACATGTGAGGCTTACCTTCAGAAACAAAGACGTATACATAGGCAGGTTCTGCGTTTGCAGCTTGACACGTATAGTTACCACTGTCTGTGTCGACAACGTCGTGAATAGTTAGCCTGCTAGTGCTTCGGCCTCCATTTTCTGTATTTACTACAATACCCCCTCTGCTATTGTCATAGTTGATCATTTTTTGGTTATGATACCAAAACACATATTGTGGAGGCTGAGGACTCTGAAAAAAAGTTATTTTATTTATGACTATTTAAATATATTTAAATAGAATTTCTGATGATTGTTTTGTGTTTATTAACATGTTATTTATTTATTTTTATATTGTTAGTAAATACAAAAATATTCACTCAAACATTATATGATTAATTAAATCATTTTATTTATTTATATTTCATAATATATATATGTACCATTCACACATAATTTCAATTATACTCCTATATATTTTTATAATTATTTAAGTTTTATGTTACGGATTATTGTTATGCATAGTGATGTGTGATAATGTGTGTGTAGTACTTTATATTTCTTTCCTGTGATCCCATTTTCATTGGCTTCCGGTGTGTAGACGTTTGACTTTCATTGATCGTTTTTTAACGTAAGTTGACCAACACAAAAAAACGAAACAGAAAAAATGAAAAGTGGTATTTTTTATTTACAATGTTTAGAAAAAACGTTATTTTCGTAAACGCATGTCTATTTTTGGCGAACGCTCTTGAATGACGTTTTTTTTTTTTAAATAAAACGTGAATGTGAACGGCATCTATATAATTATAAATTAAAATAAAATGAACGAATTAATTTTTTTAATAAATGTTAACATGAATGTGTCATTCGGTAAAAAAGGTATGACAGAGTTCCTTCTTTACGCATTGAACATAACGTGAACGCGAACGAGCTCAATTATTTAGTGAACGTTCCAAACACTGATTTTATATTTAATATAAAAAATTGATGTTGCATGATGTCAGTGTACACTGGTTCGCACATATACAGCCTGTCACGCTTTTTTGTCTATGATTTCTTGTAAAAGTCTACTGTCCTGATAACATGAAACGAACCGGTAGGTTTTAGCAGATAGGTACTATGTTTTGTGTGCATGTTATGTGTTTATATGATTATAGGTTTGTAAATAAGTGTATCATTATAAATGTTCTATGTTATAAATTGAAAATATTTCAGAAACAGAGTTAATTTTAACAAAATGTGTGATAAAATAATAAAAGATTTATTTGAAACTAAAATAACAAAATATAATTACTGAATGTAAATAATTTCAATATGTTTTACCGTCGTAAATGATTAACAGTTTCGTAATGCAAGTCATTTTATTACAAAGTGGAATATTTTATAAGGTATATAATGTAATAAGTATTATAAGATATGTACAATTTATTTAATGTATATAATGTATAAACATTAAAAGCTTGTTAAAATTTGGCTAATGCAATGCAAAAATAAAAGTTTAACGTTATTATAGAAATGAAAGTTTCCTGAAAATTAGTTCTTAAAAAAGATAATTAAAAGAAATTGTTTATAAACGATTTCTTTTAATTATATTTTTTCTTTTAATTAAGATATAACTTTAATGAAATTCGATGAAATCAATGATATTATTTATAAGTAATTTTAACTTTTCTTTTTTATTTTATCAAAAATGTCATACATTTAAATAAATTTTGATTAATAAAAAAAATGATTTTATTTACTTTGATAAATCAATATTTTTATGAACACTAAAAAATTAACGTATAATTATCAGCAAAAAATGTTTATTGTCTAGTAAATAATTAATAAATTGAAATTACTGTAGATATTTTTTTTAAAAAAAAGTAAAATTTTAAAATTTTTGTTACAATTTAAAGCAACTATTGAATAAATTAAAAAATAATAAACTAGTAAATTTTGTTAATATACTAAAGTGTGTAAATAATAAACAATAATAAATACTTTTTATTCAAAATATGTAAAAGTCAATAATATATAACACGGCGTAAATAGTATGCAATTTTAATACATTCCTGTTGAGAAAAGGTTATTAGCTTATATTTTTGAAATTTATATGAAAAATATCAATGTAAATAGAAATGAAATTTATAAATTAGCATTGCTCAGGTCAATAAAATAATATTGATTCAACATAAATAAAATACTTGATCATCTTACATATAGTTAATAAATTACTTAAATATACTTAAAATAAATAATAAAAAAAATAATCAGTTTTACATCCATTTTTTCCCGAACTTAACATGCTACAGAGGATGGTGCCCCTCTTTTACATGTTAGCGAGTCAAAGATGGTTCTTGGCTTGATGGAAGGGACGGATATTGTAGACGGTTTGTACCAGAGACAAGACACCGCCCAAGAAAAAATAAAAAAAAAATCTCGTTGACACCCCGAGGATCAAACCCGAGACCCTGTGCCCCGAAACATACGTTTCTACCAACTACGCCAACCCGACCCCTTTACTTAAAGTAAATAATAAATTATTTTATTTTCAGTAAAGCAAAGTGTATTGAACTTAATATTAATAGTTTACTTACCTTTTCGATTATACATAACAGATTTATGATACTTCCCACGTCAACATGAAGTTCAACTGGTCCATCTATGTGAACTTCAGGTACAACTATATGTAAATTAATGAATGAGGACATTATACCCGTTCCAGTAGATATCTATAACAATATAATCCTAGATTAGTATAAAATATAAATTTGAGCGAATAATTTCAATTAAAATTAAAAAATAAATTGATATAGGCGACATATTTTTTTTATGAACTATCTTCAAGTTTTGTTGCTACACATTTGTTTATAATCAAATGTATTAAGTGGAATACTGAAATGTGGTCAAATAAACACCATTTACATCGGACTCCTGAATTCTTTGATCACAGTAAAATTATAGAATATCTACATTAATTTTGAATTCCAACTCGAATTACAATTTGATGAAAAAACGTATTGAGTTTAACGTAAAGCCGTAATTACAAATAAGCATTCTTTTAAAAATTTAGTGAACATTAAATTAAAACGTTCACGAGGTCATTAAAAATACTAATTTTATAATAACTTCATCTAACAATGTGACAATGAAATCTGTGTTTCTCATCATAAAATATTTATCTAAAGGTTCGCCTAATGCATATTAAGCACATTTCACTAATCTACCAACCTATTGTAACTTTTCCCGGCTATCAACTGACAATTAACATTTACATGTACATTTCTGTACAGGTCATAACGTAATGAGCTTTAAACAGATGTGTGTGTTATTCTTTCGTTTGTTTAAGGTTCAAATAAAAACGTTTAAATTATGAAACTCTGAGCAGAACAGTAATTTTTTCCTTTATTTTGTTTCTTGTAGTATAACCCTTATAAATTTAAACTTGTTGTCATTATTGTTCGGCCCATTTCGTTTTAACGCAGTTCTCGCAATATTGTTAATAATAAAAAAACAAGAATTGGAAATTCTAGTTTGGCTTGAAATGTTTTATGCAACTTCGTTGTATTTGAAATAAATATAAATTCAACATGAAAAAAAAACTAAGTTTTAATTAAAAATTTTACTCAAATTGAGTTTATTAAAACAATTTTTTGATGGTTTTAAGTGTAAAATGTAATACTTAATTGAAGTCGACTTTGTATGTTTGTATTTTTTATAATAATCAATTGTTAAAATTTATCAAAATTCCTAAAGTATGGAATAGAAACTTTAAAATTTAGTATAAATCTAAAGTATTAAACAATGATAAAAAAAAGTAACGTGTCATTTAAAATTTTACGGTAAAATTTCTTCAAAGTAATTCTGTAACTGATTCATTACGAATTTAATTTTGTTAGAGTAAGTACGTATTTAATTATTGAATTAAAATTTTTACAGAGGTGAAAATTCGTAATTACTATTTAATGAGAATAGATTAATTATTCTAGCTTGCTATATAATTAATAATAAATATGTATTATATTTTGTGTATTTTTATTAAAATATATTTGACGTATTTCGTACTGACGAATTAAATAAAATCTAGAAAACTCTGTTTACAGTATAGTACAGTATTTACACCATTATTTTTAGATAAATCGTTTTGATAAATTTGATGTGGTAATAAAAAAAATTAGTAGCTAACTAAAGAAGAAACCATTATTGATATTACACTTTTTGTTCTCAGTCGTTAATATGTTAATGGCGATAGTCGTGTCATAGAGAAAAAAAAATACTCCAAATCTGACTCCGTGTAATTTACACAAACAATCCATTTCAGTGGAATGTGCTTGAAATATTATTTTTAAATTAAACTTTCTACAATATTTTAATGATTTTAAACTTGTGTTCACAAAGTTATCGAACAGTGTAGGTGGTAGTTTTTCTATTTAACGCGGTTGGTTTTATTTGCGAAAAGAGGGTAAACACAAAACGGACTTCCATTTTCGGACTTGTCAATTAATTTAAGATGCCGTTTAAGGTGGTTATTTCCGGAAATGTTTACGGGAAAACCATACAGCCGTACAACAGTCTAAGTGGGCTCGTAACAATCTCCAAGGCGAGCGCTTTTAAATTTACCCGGAAGCGTAACGGACCAGAATGGAATTAAACTGTACTCAGCCAATGAGCTTTAAAGACGGCAACCATAAGAAAGATCACACGTCCATTATTCGAAATGCGACATCGAGTGGCATGGCCATCGTAAGTCATATAATTATACTAACGGCTGTGGGTTTTTGTACGCCAACGCCTTTTGAAAAAACAAAGTAATGAAAATATATTATATAAAAGAATGGAGCAAGTGTTTCGGCTAAAAGGGACAATTTTTAGAACGTTACACAAAATGTTTCTCTGGAATTGTTCGATTTGTTGAATTACACCTGGACGGTCTAAGCAATACAATCGAATTAATTAAACAACACGATGGCGGCCAACGATATATTTTGAAATAACAAGTTTCATTTACTTTTTGTGAATACAGATAAAAATACTGATTATAATTAATTTTTACGATAACACTCAGTAGTGTTGCGCAGTTCTCTGGATATTAAACATTTCAGTAACTTGAAGAAATTGACATCGTTTCTTAAAAAAAATTCGGAAAAACTTCAAACGACATAAAAACGTTTTATTTTTTTGCGCTTAATGTTGAAGAAAACGAAAATTTGAATTTAAGGCATGTTCTACATCTGAATATTATTAACTAATGTACTGAATAAGAGTCTGGAACTGTATTCTTAAAACAGAATAAACGTACATTTATTCAAATTAAAAAATTCATCAAGTTGCCCTTTCCAAATAACGAAAACAGCATTCTTTGCTTTGAATGTCAATCAAAAAGTGACTTGCATTAAAATAAATTTTCCTTAAATAATTTCACTTTTTTATATTCGAAATTTTGCTATAAACTGNTTGCTTTGAATGTCAATCAAAAAGTGACTTGCATTAAAATAAATTTTCCTTAAATAATTTCACTTTTTTATATTCGAAATTTTAAACTTTTAAACTGAAAAATTATAAACTTAAACACATAATTATTTTTATCTTACTACAAGTCAATATTTGTATGGACGATGTTGTTCATACCATTGTGTTAATAATTAACTGATGTGCCGCGAAGCCGAAAACAGTTCCAAGAACAGCGGTCGTGTCCGAAAAACACGTGTGACTCGTATCGAGAAACGAGTTAAATAATTGCTACTACAGACCACATACCGCGAAATCGGTTTGTATGGTATTTTTCAACAGATAATAAAGTTCAGGGACTTTATAAGAATTCATGTTTGCCATCATTTGTTTGGCGTCTGGAGTAGGTGTCCAGTCGGCCGTGACGTTGTTTGTGTAATCTGGTGCCTCATACGAGATAGCCGATAGGTGCTCTGTAAGAAACAGCATGACGCGAGATACACACCACTGAAATTCAGTGCATGGCCAAAAATGAGTTTATGGTGACATTTATATTTCAAGTACACAAAACACACTAAAACAAATACGTGTAGTTTTTATGTAATTCCTGCAACTCGATATTTGCAAGGCATCAGTTACACCATTGGGAATATTTGTTGCGGTGATTATTCGCACAATGAGCTGGACACCGTATCTTATCACTAGTTTAGCGTTTTCATAACGATTTTCATATTGTCATCACCATTTTTCAATAAGATAATCTAAACAATCAAGTTACCAATGAAAAGCTCTCTTGAACTGTTCGAAATTGGTACTTCAATTTTAAATTTCAACTGAAATTTTACTAAATACCAATAAAAAATATTACACATTGTATTTTATTTTTTGAGATTGCTAAAAAAACAATGTTATCTTATTTGAGCATATACTGTATATTGGTGACATGTTAATATGTTTTTACTAACCCAAGCCAACTGATTATTTCCCAGTTTATCACTGGAACGATTATTTAAATTTTTTTCAGTAAATAATTATTATAAGAAAATCAATTTCGATTTATTTGAAAAAGTTTAATTATAATTGATTCACTTGTTCAGTTTGATTATACTAGACGAAATTTAACAATTATATTTCTTTTATGGATCCATTGGAAAATGTTTGTTATTTAATTGATTCGGTGGATGAATGGATTTATTTTAGTTTTTATCTAAAGAGTTGAGTTAGTACAAAATTCGGGTAAATATCAATCATGTTTGTTTTTGTTTGAATAGTAATAGATAAGGCAAGATTAAGTAACTGTCTAAAATATATAGCGACTTATACAAGTATTAGAAAACTAATGTTTACTTTTGGTAAAAATATGTTTAATTTGATAAAAATTTACAAAAGATACCCGTACTTTTTTGTATAACACGGAAAGTCATGGTATTATTACTAATTGAAAATAACACACCGCTATCGCCCCGTAAATAATTTAAATTTACAAAAGTGGTTTGCAATTTTGTTGTACAAAACACTTTCAATAATAAATTACTTTTTTGTCAAATGCATTAAAAACGATTAAGCACGTTCAATGGTCTATTCATCCATTTACAATGGTTATCGTTTAGTTGAAATTATAATAATACAATCAGTGTAATTTAATTGTATTTATTATTTTAAAACACCGACAAAAATAAATAAATCATTGAGTAGTAACTGTTTTTTAACATACTAGTAAACCCATCTAGGGCAACTGTTTCACATTCTTCGCTATATGAAACAGTTGTTTTGTTTCATTAAACAACTGTTTGGTAAAAACTCTTTCAAGTTGAATTTTAATTTTAATATATTTTTTTTTGTAAAAGAAAAAAATGTTTGTTATTTTTATAGTCACCTATGATACGTAAAACTTTTTTCAAAAAGACAATTAGCCTTTTTTCATTAAAGGAATTCTTGTATTTACTAGATCCTCAAGAATTCTAGCAATGTAAATAAGACTTATTTATTATATTATAAATTTTATGTCGTAGAGTTGTAAAATCTTTTAATATTAAAAATATATGACGTAAAACCTTTACTACACTTCATAGTAATGTGTTTTAAACTAATTTTATTTTGGTAGCATTAATTTTTCTTTAAGATTTCTGAAATTATTTTTCTACATAAACTTTTGTTTCATGCTTATAGCTGTTCATGGTATAATACTATAAATCACATTTACTTGAGGTAATGCGTCATTTCAATATTACATTACTGGATATTATACCTAAAGGTATTGCATAATAAATCAAGAGTAGGTAAAATATTCTAAACAAAATAATTTAATATTTATATGTATAAGCTACATAAAGTCAAATCATTTTTAAATAACTGAGTGTAATGTGCATAGTAAATGGAAACATACTACATTATTATACCTTTTAACTTTAAAAGATGTCACAGATAATGTGTAATGTTTTTTTAATAATGTAAAAAATGATTAAGTATTATAAGTTCACGCTATCTTAATCTAGAATAACCCTTTTTAATTTTAATATATTTTAATTTTTAAGTAAATAATTAAGTTTTAATTTTTTTTTGTTCCTCTACATGCGATCATGAAATATTATTGAAGTGTCACATGAACCTTCATTAACCAAGAAGAGAATAAATGAAAATATAGTTTAATAGAATTTTAAATAGAAATATATGAATGTTTTATGTTTTTTTAATACAACATAGGTGTACTAGGTAGAAAACTATAGCCAAAGCAACTTTGGCTTTTTTCTTTTGATATTTAAATACATCGCTAACTCTTTGAAAGTTACAGCTAAGTATAATTTTCTGTCCCGAACAAATTGAACAAGACCACAATACATCATTTTTCTCAGCAATAAAACATTAATCTCAATAAATAATTTAGTAAAAATTCACAAATATCACAGACTAATTTATAAAAAGCCCTTATAAACTTATACTTAATAGAAAAAATTACAAAATTAAACTACTCTAGCCTTAAAATTTGCGGGTGATATAATTTGTGCAAAACAGCTAGCCAGTTGATTGATAACGTTATCAATCGTGGTTTAAATGATAACCGTATAAATGATAAGAGGAATTCTGTATCATCGGCAATGTTTAAATATATGATAATGTTTTACGCGGTCTCAACACAAATAAAAAACGTACTAAAAAAAAAATATGTGTTTTGATTTAATTTCAATACAATTGTGAATATTCAATTTCATAATTGGTAATTTGAGTCAATTATTACGTGTGACATTTTGCTATTATCTTAAAAATTTGTATTTATACAAATAATGTTTTTTGATTCAATTATTAATTATCTGGTGAAATTGTTGTTTTACTTTTATGCGCTTGAATTAATTAACTTTAAGTAAGTATTAAACCATAATCAGAAAATTTAGTTATTTTTCAAATTATTTTTAAAGCTACTTAACTTGTAGAAATATTTTTGTTGTTATTTATATCTTACAAATTTACGATTAGTATCCCAAAAAATAAAATATATCATTATAATACATTTTAGTAGTACAAGATATCTATCGAGAAAACCTATTCCAGTACTATTCGTACAGACGGTGAAACTTCACCTAATTTTTTTATACCTCGTACAATATCTTTTCACACTGGTGCACAAACTACAGAAAACTTTTAAATGTACTGATACTTTTCACGCATGATTTGGTCAAGTTTGAAAATAACATTCTAAGAAAAGCTTTTTGAGTCAGAACCGTGAACAAAATACAAAACGTATATGCACTCCGTGGTCCGTTATTGAGTGACACACACCTTTCATCAAAATACTTTTAAAAAATTCACAAGTTTTTCAAATGTACCGTGTATATGGCGGACATAATATATTTAAACATTTTTATTTGCTCAATTTTAAAATAGATAATAATATGTATATTATCATCTGTGACATCATGTATGCATTTTTCAAAAAAAAAAAAAATGTATAAAAAATGAGAGTTTTAGATGATGTTTGAAATTTTTTAAAAAGTATTCGCTGTTTTTATAATAATACTTCATTCTTTATGTATAACATTTTAATACGCCATCGTGTTGGATTATAATTAAATTTGCACTGTAAAAGAAATTCGACAGCTCTGACTAAATTTTGTACCCTTGTCTTTACAAATCATTTCATTGATATATTTGAAGAGCTCTTCTTCAAACATCTTTAGTTCTCAGAGCAAAATTAATGGACAAAATCTTTTGACACTCAGAGATATTTGACCGAGTCTACAAACAACCAAATTGTTTGCCTATGATAATGAATCTCATAGAATTATTGCTGATTTTAACCCTTTGAAGTGCATACCTCAATTTCCATTCTTAAGTATTATATATAATAGAGGAATCCGGAGTGTAATTTTATATTTATTCAAATGACCCAATCAACTATTGTTACGTATAAAATATCACTTGTTTGTGAAGTATGTAAGACATTAACATACTTTATATTTGATAGAAAATTTAAATAAATAATATCAATTTAAATTTATATATTTCTAAAGATATTTTATTTGTTTTTGAAAAGTATTTAAAGCTAACAACTGAATTAGTTTGACCATAAAAAAGTGTTCTCAGAATTCAAGTAAATAAAATTAAAAGATCATTAATATTAAATAAAATAAATATATGATCAGTTTTACATACTTCTATTTCTCGAACTTAACATGCTAAAGAGGGCGGTGGCCCTCCTTCACATTTTAGGGAGTCGAAGATGTTTTTTTAACGGATATTATAGCCGACTTGCACCAGAAACCATACACTACCAATGAGAAAATCACAAAAAAAAATTTCGTGGCAACCTGGGCATCGAACCCAGTTCGTCATGCGCCGAAACATGAGTTTTTACCCATTAGGCCAGGACTACTCCTAAAAGATCATTAATATACATTAATAAAAAATTCAAACTTTATAAATGGCAATAACTTGAAGAATTATATCATTGTATAAATGAGTAATTTAAATCCTGTTTTGATTTGTTTTTTAGATATTATTGGTTTTTAATGGATAAATCATGATTAGTTGATGTTTTTATAGCTTCAATTTAACAAATATGTACTTTTGTCGCAACCTTTTTTGTGTTGGGTGTATGTGTTTTTGTTTATATCAAAATAAAAAGTAGATTTCAAATAAATAAAAATATTTACATGTAATGTTGTTTGCTAAATTATTATGGACAAAATTGTATAAATGAAAAATTAAATATTTATTTGTAATTCAGCAGTATTAACTTGAACAACCATAAATTTAAATAAATAATAAACTTTAAAACGAATTGGTTTTACTGCTTTAGTGATTCATATAATTTCTATTAGTTTGAACAAAATGCTGAGTTATATAAAATCGTAAAATTTTGTTTCTTAATAGACTAAAGTTAAATGTGGACCCTTTGCTCGTTATTTCAATGTATATATTTCGAAGTAAAAGAAGTAATTTAGATTTTCCGAAATCTACTCTGAATGACTCTACTCATATAATAAGGGACCCAACTTTGATTCAAAAGTTTTTCTATTTGAAAAAAAGATCTTATAGCCGTTAGGAGTTTGATAACATACAAAGGAAAATATTCATTTAGCCTCTTCAACTACTTAGTATGCAAAAATGTGTAGAACGTTAATTTTGGGATTCTTCTGGCGTCAGGTAAACGCAGCAATGTCACTGGCCATTACGGATTAGTGCTTATATTGTATTCAGTACAGAGGATTGTCTGCTTGCATAGGCGTACGGCCGTGTTAAATATCAGTGTTATTTTTTACTTCTTAAAGTAAAAATCATCAATTTAGTTTAACTACTCCACCTCCCAATTTGAATAAAATTAATTTATCATCACTCATAAAACCCGGTCGACACCATATACGCGGAATTTCAATTGTCTCAAAATGTTCTATTATCTCACGTTCGTAACCACATATTTGCAGCTACTTGATTCATCACTTACCTGACACTCATACGTGCCGTTGTCTCTTTTTTGAACGTATTTTATTTGCAATGTCCAGTCGTCAGAACCCTCGGCGTGCAAAACCGTAAACCTCTCGTCATTCGTATACGTGAACATGCCTGACGTTAGTATATGCCAGTCTCGCCGTCGAACCCAAGATATCTGAAAAATAAAAATAATAGAATTACAAACAAATATAAGTAGATAATGTTGTTATTTACTTATTCAATACAATTCGTTTTTACTAAAAAATACGCTTTTCAAATAAATACAAAATCTACCAAAGAGATATTATAAGGTTTCTTGTATTGCTCTTTATTTTCTAATAATGTTTATTTCAAAAAATAGGCATTTGCTATAGTAAACTTATTTAGTTTATTGATGTACATTGTATATTGACGTATAGTGTATTAACACATAAACATAAAGACGTAATCATAATAAGCGCATATACAGTACGTATACAGTTTATCACATTTATAATTTAGTATACAAATAATAATAACGGTATTTTATGTTCCAGTTTTTTTTTTTGTTGCTAACTAGAATTCCATTGTTGTGTTTTTTCGTCATTACATATACATATATATATATATATAATCGCGTTAACGAAAATAATTTTGCGTTAAGTTAGATTAATGTGTAATAAACCATTACTATTTATTCAATAGAAAAAAATTATTTTAAATATCTGTAATGCAAAGTAGAAAATGTTCAAATATTCATTAATTTTATCGAACCTTAGTGTAAAAGTATGAATTATTTTTATGATTGATTTTTTACAGAAATTTTACAATAACTCTTTAACTAATATAATATTACTTTAAAATATTATGACTTAATGTTCACTAGGAATTTCATTTTAGTTTTATGTTTGTAATTAGGATAGGACATTGAGTTTTCCTAAAGTTAGACAACTACCGTGAATTCTGCGAATCAAAAAATAAACCCTTTAATGATGATCAAAAATGAATCCCTCGGGCTTTTTCTGGGATAAATTTGACTGAAATAAATTGAAATATAAAATACACAAACAAACAATTATTGCTTAGTTAAGAATGTATTTTACGGCTCGAGAGTTTTTCATCAAATTAACAACATTTTGTGGCAAAAACTTAATTATATCAACAAAATTAAAACTTTCTTTTAAACGATAACACAGCAGATATTCAAACAAATAGTTGATCATTAAGCCCTTTGGGATGTAAATCTTTTGTAGTTGAAAAGTTTTATGATGTTAAGCAGCTATGTTATTACTCGGTTGTTATAAAAAATAATCGAATACTTTTTATTCAATTTGTTTTTTGAACAAATATTCGTAACGAACAACTCATATTATAATTAAACCTTGGAATTATATGCATTTATAAACTAAGATATTCTGAACACACCACCAGCCAATATAAATTTTCATTAATTTACTTGAAAACTTAGTAATGTGTTATTAACAATATTATTATTATTGGGTAGTGGAGGGGTTGCCTCCCCTAAAACGAAAAATTATAATTACTTTAAACATTTACTATAAAAATGACAAAGAAAATATTATTGACACAGATTATTTGATTTTATTCCTATGAATAGAAACATATATAGTATATTTATACTTTTATATAAGTAATAATAATCACATTAAAAAGACCTTATGAACAATATAATATTTTTAATTTACCTAGTTGAACATGAAGCGAAAGTAAAAATTTTCTCGTTAACATTTTAGATTTGAGTTTTTTAATAATTCAAATAATCTTTCAATTTTTTTCAATAGTATATGATCATTATACGTATTATGATAAAATTAGTAATTTCGATATGTTTAAATGGATTACTATGGTAATTTAAATAGATTTACTAAATTTCTTGAAGTGTTTAAATTTAAATTTAATTTTAAATATTGAATATACTCTATAATTTAAACACATGTAATCGGTATGTAACATTTCTATATTTTTATTTTGATGTATTTGGAAACTTAGGTGGCGGTTATCTGTTTGATGGTAAATTTGATTAGCTGTTAAGTCATAATATATTTATAATTTCTATCTATCAGGTATCATGTTTTGAACATTGCGTGAAAAGTTCTCAGAGCTCTTATGGTTATTTTGCTTCTTACACTATAACGTGACTCAACCCGTTACCGTATTGGGTTGCTTTTGTTAAATAATAACATCATAACAACCGTCGGTATCATTAGGGATTGTGGTGATTTATCGTTGTAATACAATCTATACCTATGTATAACAATAACGTTGCATTAGATGGTTTTTTATTATTCTCTATTTTTGCTCGAGCAGCAGATCGGCTATCGCCTAGAAGCTATATGATTATTTTAATGCTCGCTCGTCACGAATGTAGAGTACCTATTGTGATGAATACCTATGTCTACTTCATGCGTGTTGGCACGTTATTCGCTTATCAGTCGACATTTGTAAGAAATAGTTATGAAAATTACCTGCAAATAAAGTGTTTGCAAAACTAAAACTGTCAACGGCCGAGAAGGTTTCCGTTCAACTCAATTCGATAACGTTATTGGCCATAACATAAAAACGGTTTAACATAATATTATGTTAGCAATGATGCAAATCTCGGAGGAATTTACCGGTTCAACACGATCATTTTGTTATGTGTAATGAGGTTTTTATTTTTTGCGACTAGAAGTTTTTGCGTCACATGAGTTGGTTTAAAATGCTGTAATTTCTTGCAAAACTTTTTAAACGAAACTCCGGTCAATCACTATAGTAGATGATTTCTAAAAAGTTATTTGAAAATCATTTATTTGGCCTTTAGGGGAAAATTTAGTTTATAGAACCGTCTATCAATTGAAGTTTTAAGAGCTTTTCCTTTACATAAAATCAGAGAATTATATGACTGTTTTTAGATTGACGGTTATATTAAATTATCAAAAATGTTTACTATTTTGACAGTTAACATCTAGTTACTTCACAAAATAAATTTAATGTACCTCACAAATTAATAAGTTAAATTATCAAAAAAATGACGAGGAAAACTTTTAACCAAAAATTTTTTAGACACGCAAACTTCGAAAATACTGAACAAATAGTTATGAATAAACACAGCGGAGACAAACAAATATATTTCATTTATTTTGAAAATACTACTTTTCATCATCGTCGTGCAGTTGAAAAAGCATAACCAGACAAACGATTTATCCAAAGGCGCCGCTATTACAATATTCGATTTGCTTTGGTATTTCTTTTTCTCATACACAGAAATTCGCATACCTCATCTCTTTATCACATCGTTCGTCATTCTTACTCGCTTCAATTCTTTCGATGTTTGTTCTTTCCTATACTGTCCCGTCGGAAATCTTTTTTACAAGAAATACTCTAGTACCCTGAGCGGTTCAGTTTATAACACGAAAAGCGTTGTGACCGTTTGGAATTCTCCTTTGGAGTCGATTGTTTGAATGAACGATATGTTTCTCATCTTAGCAGATCCTAGAATAAATAGACTATTGAAAGGGTTAGAGTTTAGATAGTAAAAACAAACCTATTTACATTGAAAACAATAAGGGTTAGCAAGCACCGAAACAAATCATATTTATAATGAATTCTTTGGTTGAAACGACGTCTCGAACACACACTACTAAAAAGAAAATGTGTATAGGCCATAAATATTCTATAATATACAGTACGGTAATAACGAGAACATGGGACTATATATGTGTTATTATTTTATGTTATTTAGGTTCACTCGTTTCAATTTCTTTCGTTTCTTTACTCAAAAAGGTTTGCTTTTCATGTCATTATGTCATCTTTTGAGTGCGTATAAGCACCAAGAAAGTGAAAAACCTTGGCAAATGTCATTTAGCAGTCAAAAAAGGTGATGAAATGGAAACAAGAAAATTACTTTTGTTACTTACATATGCTAGAATAAAATTCGTAAAAGGCGTCACTTACATATTTGTTTAAATTATTTCCAGTATAATTTTAACAAACATCGAAATCAAAGGGCAGCTATTTTAAAATAATGTTATGATACTCTACTAAATTAAATATGTCAACGTACAATATATAGGGATTTTTGTTTAAAAATAACCCTTTGGTTTTTCTAAAAATAATAATTTTGTTAAGATAATTATTCTCGGAATTTTTTAGTTTTATATATTTTTGATTTATTAGTTATTAATTATTTTTTTAATCACATCCCTTATACCTTATAAGGATATCAACTTATTTTATTTAATAACATGCATATTTAACTAGCGTATAAAAAAATGATCTAATTAGTAAAATAACTCGTCGATCACAATTTTGGGACGATAATTTGAAGTTATTAACATTTTTAAACCTAGGAGAATGTAGAAGTGTGGCCAAAAAATGTTAAAATTTATCATTAAAATTCAAGACGATATTTATTATTTTTATACCAGTCTATATTTTAAAAAGGTAGAAATTTCTGAAATAATGGGTTAAAAGTTGTTATCATATAATTAGTTTATTATTTAGATAATTTTTTTTATAAACTAGTGAAATATATATACCGTTTAAAAAAAATTGAGGTGACATCCTTAAAATTCATAACGGTTGAGATAAAAAAGCAACTTATAATTCAAGAACTATATAAAACTAAGAATTACAGAATATAATTTTCTTGGCATGAAGAAAGTTCTCTTCATATATTATTTGAAGAGAAATCGAGTGGCAGAGTTTGATGAATCATTTAATATTTTAATACATTTACAAGTTCGTCACGGCATAACAAAATTCTCATTTAAACAAGTTCAGTTAAAATTTAAAATGGTTAAATTTTGATAAATATATACTTATTAGTAACACCTTCTAGTCTAGTGCTACTATTGATTACAGCGATATTTTTAATAATAAAATAGTATATCAAGAATACACTTCAAAAATAATAAAGAAGAATAGTAACATTAGTGTGAAAATAAATAAAAATATCCTAGTATAAATTAGCCAAGAAAAAAAAATTAGATAAGAAAACATATCTACATTTTATCATTTATAAATTATATATAAACTATTACAGACAAATTATTTCAAATAATATTAATTTAACGAGTGTCCAATTGCTTTTAAAAAGTTTTCAATATATCTTGTTTTGTAATTATACTACTCGCATAGCCTTTTAATTTTTACTTGATTTTTTTTATTGGTAATATTTTTTTATTACATTACTCACTACGTTATCACCGAGCTATTTACTGCCACTTTCTGACAAATTTTGTCCGTTAACATCAAAATGGTTGGATGATTTTGTCCATAAAATTCAGTAAACCTGTTATTTTATACTTCAGTGCTGTTGATGGTTCTTTCAGCATCTTTTAAAGTTATATTTTGGACATTCCACAGGTTTGAAGTATAAAGAGAAGTTTATCAATAGTTATCGATAGAAACAAATAAAGATATCGTGACAGTAGGGTTTTTACTGGTTATTTGTACTGCAACCCATTTATTCGGTCATTTTTAATATTCGGCTATTTGTTTCTAGATTCCATTAGAGTAATGTATGTTCAGAAGTCAAGAAAATATAATTTAAGTCACGCATATAAAATTAAAATAGCCTAAATTAATTTACTGTGTACTAGAGAGAATATTAAAAACCTTGTATAAATGAACTTATGACACAAAAACATGCAGCCGAGAATTATTAAAACAGTAATATAAAAGTAATATAGATAAATTATTGCCTAATTCATTTATTGGTATCTAAATAGAAAAATATCAAAACCAATATTTCTCGTAGTTGTTATACTTGTTAATCAGTCCAGTATGCATTGAAATTAAAATATTGAACATTTGTAAAATATATAGTTCTAATGAAAAAATAAATATGAGAAGAAAAAGTTTATTTAAGAAATTTCCTGTTTTCTTATAGTATAATCTATGATAACGTATAATACATTGTTGTCATATAACCTGAATATTTTGTTATTTACATCACATTCAGTATAGTATATTAAAGCTAAGTAATTGGTGGGACATTTCATAATAATAGTTTTCATAAACTCGAGGTTTTGAGTTTCTTTTAGATAAGGGAAACAAGATTTTGTTGATTATGCCGATGTGAAACAATTACAGAGTTCATTTTAAGGTGATAGTGTGAAGGAATGGTAAAGAGATAGTAGAACATAAGAGTGTCCGGATACGTATCATGGCAGCAAGAGAATCTGACGGAATTTAATTTCGCCCAATGGCATCTATCTTTTCCGGACATCATTATGTCGAAAACGAACGACAACGACCCGAGAGATGTATAAACGCACGTCGTCCATCGCGGCACCAGTGTAAACGTGACTAGACTGTTACGTATGGGAAAACCTTTCTATCTCTACTGTATTTCTGTCTATTTCCTTGTTCTGAAAATTTGGTTTGGACGAGTATGTTTTGATTAAGAGAATGGCCGCTCATCTCTATAGCACTTTGTATCCACCCGTTGTATTTTTATTAAAACTGATATTAACACTTTACTAAGACTCATTTTTAGTGGAGACCAGAGCAAGTTGATCACAAATCAACTATTTGTCAAAGAATTTTAGACGGACAAAATATGATAGTGCCATTTTATCTATCAAGTTATAAGAATTTCCTATAGATATTTTCAAAATGAAAAAAAAAACTCAAATATTTATCATTAAATTGACATGCATTAAACAAAGGCCAAGATACAATTTGAACTTAAAACCTAAATCATAGGCTACGCTTAGTCTAAAAACTTAAATCTAATCCAATAACCTAATTTTCAAAATAAATCAACATAATAACAATTCGTATTGTGTTTAAAAAATGTACCGTTCGTTCGCCCAAATTTCTGACGCGGCAATGCAAGTACGCAGTGCTACCATAAGGTACTGTCAGGTTGGTATCTGTGGTGTTATCCAAAAGTGGTTCGGTGAGCTTTTGAAATTCGTCAAAGCTGGAATACCACAGCTGTTGCCAATCTGTATTTGGCGATCCTGGTTGTTCACCTTTATTTTTTGGACTGAATATTTCTCGCTTTTCTGTAAACAAATAATACATTGTTTAAAATAAGTCAGAAAATATGTGTATTATTTTGGCTAATTATCTGGGAATTTTGGTCGTAGCATTATAAGTAAAATAATCTGTTGAAAGTTTCAATTCGAAAATAAGTCTTATTCAAATTAAAGTTCGGTAAGCAACAATACAAATAGAAGTATTTAACGTTCCTTTCTTTCTATTGAAATATGGAAACTGACTCATCAATAAATTATGAATATTTATTATCATACTTATTCTACTATTGTTAAAAACCAAATAGCCTAGTATTATGTTAATTTGATTTTACGTTTTTACCAATACAATTTTTCTGTCTTGATGGAGTTCAATTACTCCTTGTCAACAACAGTTGAATCATTAAGAAATATTTAGACGTATTGAAAAGAAAGGAAAAACCCTACTTTATTACAATATGAATCGATCCATTTTCCGTGGAATTAATTTGTATTTAAATTGGAAATATAGTTCAGATTTTTATGCGTGAAAATAATGAATTCTACTAAAAATTCTATGTTAAAATTTTATTTTATATAAAAATGCATTTTTTATGAAAAGCTTAATTATTTACAGTTGATATATTGTTTCTTTTTCTGTGTATCTTTGATAGAATAATGAATAGTTCATTAACTACAAATAATTATATAATCACCTAGATTTATATAATCTAACGGGTTATACAGAGCTACATCAAAATGCGACTACTCAATAAAGTGTAGTAATAGATTTAAAAACATGTTAGTAATGAATAGCACGCAGAACTCGGATTGATATAGTGGTAAAGTGTGTCTACTTATAGCAGTTATTTAGTGAAATAGTGTAGAATATGACAAACTATCACAAAATTTAAGTATTAAATTAATTATCATTTCTCACGCATGTAATACAAAAAGAAAATCGACCATAATTTATTGTAAAATTAAAGTTACTTATAAAATTATATCCTATTGTAGATGAAAAAATGTTTCTTGAAATATATTTGCTACAGTTTTATTGTTTTTTAAAGTAATTGGTAAATTGTAAACCATTTAAAATTATTTTTTTTTACAACTGTATTACTTAAGTTAAACTGTAATAAGTGTGGAATAAAAAAAATTTCTATTAAATAAAGAGTTCAATAAAGAGTCAATGTCGATTGTATTTTGAATTGAGATACTTTTATCATCATTGATTAGAAAAACTTTTAGTAATATGGCAATTTCGCAAAACACTTCAAGTCCATTTACTGACCAAAGGGTAAATGCTAATTCAACAGTAAGAGAGGTAAGTATACAGTTCAAGTCCATTTACATCCGAGGTCTTTGTGGTGGTGGTGGTGGTGACGGCAGCGTTTGGTTGTAATGATAATACCCTTCTATTCCGCAGCTGTTAAGCAATCGGAAGTGCCTGTAGTTAGTTGTTGAGGAAAATTTCAACTCCTAAGGACTCTTATCATTTCTTAAAACATATTGATCTAGAATTGCTGCACAGTATAGCAAAAATATGTTTTAGTCAATAAAATTATATGAAAACTGTTCAGAAATTGCAAATCAGATTTCATAATTTTGTTTACATAATTTTTGTTATCTTTCATTTTAGTTGCAAATTTCCCTGTTTTAATTAATCGGCACACTTTTTTCTCTAACGGACATTGTTTACATTCCTTTACTTCGTTCTATCTTTCTTTATCTTTATGTAGATAATACAGCATCAGCGTCCATATAATTACCGAGCTTTACTCGCCATGTGCCGACAATAAAGAAACGACTAATTGGCAGTAATTAAAAATAAAAACTAAATGACCGAGAAGAGGATTATGGTGGGTAAAATTTGCATTTTCGAGAATACCACGACGAAAACATTATTTTTGTCTTACATTTTTATTATTGTTATTTAAAAGACCGGCCATAATAGTAGATGAGATATTGTTACATTTAGTATTTAAAAAGTATTCTTTATTATCTTTTTTTTTTTTTGATAATAAATGTTTTCTTTTTATATTCAAATGCCTGAACAATATTCTTTGTGAAATAGTTTATCTTGTTTCCATAATATCTTACTCTACATCTCTAAAATATGAATTGTAAAAAGTATTATCCTCGTTCACTCATTTGTTTCATTCAATAAAATTATTTTGCTGAAATATCACGTTCATTTTTGACCATTAAGATGTAATTTTGATAAAAGTGCTGAGTATATATTTTTGTGTAATATCATTTTGTATAATAAATAAATTAGATCTACATTTGTTTGTAGTTTGAAAGAATTATATATTTTTACGCCTAATAAGTCTAACATGTGACAAAAAAATACAAATTTTTATACAATTTTGTTTTAAATTATGGATTGAAATTTAAAAACGTACTTATATATCATCATAAAGTGGATTTACATCAGAGTAAAATAACTACCACTCAACGAGGAAATTACTAAATGTCGGTCATGTATTTTAATCCGTATGATGTATTTATTTCAATATATACAATATGTATATATCAAATTCATGATTTTATTATAAAAAATTTAATTTAGCTATTTTTAAAAATGAAATCTTTTATTATTTATTACGCACTTGAGTAATGTGTTAAGGTAAAGTCTTGCGGATAATTTTAGTTCGAAAATGATAGTTTTAACTAAATAGAGTTGTGCCATTACTTGATTAAATGACTCAGACCTGCGAAATTGACATATACTTTTTATGAGTTTATATAAAACGAATATATATATATAGAATGTTCAGTAAGTAAGGAAACAGATTTCTATTGTTCTCATTGTTTCCTTACTGAACACTTTATAATAACCTAATTCAAAATTCTTTTTATTTTTATTTTAATAAACAACTTTGATTAATAATATAGCGAAGTAGTAGGTAATAAAATCGACAAATAATTTTTTTAACGACTGTAAAAATGATATTCATATATAAATTTAGTATAAGGAGTCTTATATTTTTTAACATAAAATGACTATATTCTTACAAAACAAAAATAAAATTAACATGAATTGCACAATTTCAGTCAAAGACGTGGCTATAAAAATAGAAATAAAAATTGTTGTTAAAATATGATCGTAACCTTTAATGTTTGAAAATTGATAAAATAATTTGTACGATTCATTGGACATTTACTGATTTGTTAAAATTTCCAATGTCTGGATATTTTCTGATATTTTTAAAGAGGGGAAATAACGTCGTGTTCACCGGTGCGGATTTCAAATAAGTACTGAGTAAATGACGTAAGAGAGAAAATGAAAATGTGAAGAGGTAATGTCCGTTTAAAGGGAGCAGTGATTGAAAAACGATTTGTGAACAGCGAAATTAATCATTATTACAAAGTAATTGAATTGGAAAACATATCTCTGCGTATTTTACCTTAGTTTTATTTTGCCCTTGGAACTTCATTTAAACGCAATAATTATTACGCTTTTATAGAAACCATTAAAATAGAATGAAATATCAATTATAATCTATATCAAGTAAAATGTTTTCATACATATTGGAATGATGAAGTATAGTTATATTTGAAACATTACTAAGTCTAGAAAAATATTGTACTTTTTAGTATTTATTTATTCATTATTTTTTCACTTGATCGTGTCATTTAACTAATTATCCTTTTTTAGTAGTATGTATGTATATTGATATTATTATAAAGTGTATAAATTGTTGATATTGTGACGGACTTGATTTGAGCAAGGCAGTTTAGGGCGAATCATTGAATAATGAAACCGATACAAATTTAAGTTGATAAAATGATTAGGGCATTATTGCGTTTGTTGAGAAACACAGCACATTAATAATTAATGTTTAGGGGTTTAACACCCCCTCCCCACAAAAAACTGATATGAAAACATCTTGGTGAGTGAGAACCAAAGAACTAAAAAGGTATTTGAAAATCTTTTGATTTACATTTTTTCAGTTGTATTAAAAAAATGATTACAAAAAGCGTTTAGAAGAAAAATGCACAATAATTTCTTTCTGAACAATTTAACTTGTATTTATTATTAAATTTTATGATACAAATTTTATGATTCTAATACTAAAGTAATGGCCCAAAATCGTTAAAAATTTACTTATTTATAATTGATATGTTCGCTTTGAAAAAAGTACTTAATTTTTAGTTGCAAAAATACAACAACAAAGTTACATTACTGGAACTAAATATAGCCCAAGTTAGAATTGGTTTATTTACGTAACTTTGAAAATTTATTCAAATATAAGTTTATTTTGTGTGCTAATAATAAATAACTGAATCGTTTGGGGACGCTGTGCTACAATTTACAATACAACTCATTTAAACGAATCCGAAGGATAATTATCGTCAGTACGCCATGTTTAATGACCCATTTAAATTTCAATAGCAATAAAAATACAACAGCAGTACGCAACATTAAATACATTGGTAATCATAGTGAGAAGACAAGACATCAATCGGAAAATCAAAATTTAAACCGAAATATTGGTTTCTAAATATCATACCTACTATTAAGTATTATTCAAAATAAGGTATTATCTAATTATATATTAGAACAAGGAAAAAACATTTTTCTGGGAAAATTAATAAGCGTGCTCGGATTTTAAAAAAAATTCTTTTTTCAACGATAGTACTGGATTACGAGACTCCGGGAAAATTATTGCTAAAGTCGGAAAACTTTTTCCGATTTATCGAGAGTGATTTAAAATTTTGACCGTTTTCGAGAAAAATCCTTGCTGACTCTAGCATTTTACGATTTAAGGTTTAAAATTTTCACCAGACCCAAAGACATTTCTGAGATATTATAAAAAAATTAATTCAATCCGTTCATTTTTCACCGTTCTACGAGCTTTTTTTAAGTCCACGCGCATGATTTGAATAAGTCTATTGACTCCTTTTTAGGCATTTATGTATTGTGACTCTGAGTTTGTAGAAAATTGATTTTTAAGTCAATTGTTCTCTTTAATTCATATTAAATACAAGTTATAGTTGTCGTATATGAATTTATTTGGTTAGATTATTAGCTATATTTTCGT